GGTGCGTATAACATATCATAAACGATCTTTTCATTTTCGCATACAGATATGTAGGTACATACGCATGTATAATTTCCATTTTACGTGACTTTAGACGATTGTGGAAAAAGGTCAAAATATTGCTTAAAGAAAATATTATCAACTTAGCTGAAATATGAAAAAAAAAAAAATTAAAAGTCAAAATATTAGCTGAAATAGAAAAATGCATACATGTTTGCAAAAATCAATTTGCAATCAGCAAATGTAGCAAACGCTACAGCGGATATGGACGAAACGCCATTTCTTTAAAACAGAGTTGGCGGAGAGCTTTTACTCAGCTCGCACCTATACAAAATGTATAGAAAGCTTAAAAGAGCTTTGCCCGCGGGCAAGGCAGTGCCTATCAGTGCTTCAAATGAAATTAATTGGTGCTCGTATGTATGTGCATACATATGCATATGCATGTGTGTGCATCAATATATTAATATCGTTGAATTATTTTAATATCTATTGCAAAATTTTCTACAGACCAGACTAACAACTACAAAATAAATAAATTAAAAAAAACTTTTTAATATGCGTGGTTTTATAAATGGACTAACAAGTGCTAAAAGTCGTATAAGAAACCTAGAAATAATTTTAGATTCCTACAGCGAAACCAAAGGCCCGAATGTAAAATCTGGAGACATTAAAATATTTGAAATAAAAGCTCAATTGAAGGCCTATCTTAAAGAAAAACGGGCTCATCTCGGTGAAAATCCTCTCGATTGGTGAAAAACTAAACAAAAAAACACGACAAATTTACAGATCTGGGTCGCAAATATTTGAGCGCTCCACCCACCGTTCGAAGCGAGCAATTTTTTAGTGCAGCCGGCCTTATATACGAGCCTCTAAGAAATCGCCTCATGGGAGAAAAGGCAGCAAAATTACTTTTTATGAAATATAATATTGCCATTTTGAAATTTGACTACAAGACTAAAACACTGTATAGGTTAAGAACTCGTTCAATGTTATAAAAATTTACAAAATTTTTAAGTGATAAAGACGATGACTTAACATTCGCATTCGCGAATGTGAAAAATATGGCATTCGAGACATCCCTATTAAATACACAAAAACCGTACTAGACTGTCTCGCTTAGATTTCGGAATGCTTACACATTGGGAAGTTAGCTTACTGCCAATATAGAAGTATTACATATATGGGCGCATGAATTCATGAATTGACACGAAAAGTAATATATGTATGTACATACTTATGTATGTGGGTATATGAATAACAATCGCTTAAAATCGATCTCAAATTTTGTACAACGCTTCTATATATATCAATAAAATCGTACAAATCGTTGCAAAATTTTCTATAGACCAAGATAAAAAGGTTTTTATTTTATTTATTTTCTACTTGTTAGTAAATAAATAAAAAAAAAACAACTTTTTAATATGCGTGGTTTTATAAATAGACTACAAAGTAACTTTTGAAATTGAAGTTTTAACAAAAGTCATTATAAACAATTTATGAGATAGAAGATGAAAAGCGTGGGGCGCATGCATGTATGTATATTGGCAGTAAGAGCTAGTACCGTCCGAAAACCTTGCAGTACAGATATATCAATAAATCCGTACAAAAGAAAAGGAACAGATACGTTTATAAATAAACATATACACAACACGTACACAAAAACGGCACACTCGTACACAATACATTCGAGGGATTTTGCGAATATTTGCATTCGCATTCGTTATGCGAATGATTCGCATCATTTTACGCCTTCGCATCAAATGATACGAATGTTTTGCGAATGCGAATGTGTACATGGGCAGAGTGACCACACTAATGTTGTTGAAATGGCTCCAAGTCTGTCTGACGAGGGTGCGTGCAATAATGGGCTTTTAGCTTCAGGCGCTAAACGGTTAAGTAGTATATCAAGCAACATTGATGGGCCTAACAGGTACTGCTAAAAGTCGTATAAGAAACCTAGAAATAATTTTAGATTCCTATAGCGCAAGCAAAGGCCCGAATGTAAAATCTGGAGACATTAAAATATTTGAAATAAAAGCTCAATTGAAGGCTCATCTTAAAGAAAAACAGGCTCATCTCGGTGAAAATCCTCTCGATTGGTGGAAAACTAAACAAAAATACGACAAATTTACAGATCTGGGTCGCACATATTTGAGCACTCCACCCGCCGTTCCAAGTGAGCAAATTTTTAGTGCAGCCGGCCTTATATACGAGCCTCCAAGAAATCGCCTCATGGGAGAAAGGCAGCAAAATTACTCTTTATGAAATATAATAAATGCCAGTTTGAACTTTGACTACTAGATTAATATTACATTTACATTGAGCCCAAATGCGTCATTTGGGCGAGAAACCTCAAATGCGAGGCCAAATCACGCATTTCTCCATACAAATTCACATTTCCAGAATGACGCATTTCGACGCATTTACACAAAATCACGAAACAAATGCGTTCCAATTGCCGTACTATTTTATTGAACGCACTCAGAAACAAAAGTTCCACAAAAGCTTTGGTTTGTCTTTGACATTTGGAATTTTTCAAACACAAAACAAACACAACGAAATAAATAAATCTTTGAAATTTGTGTGTAAAAATTGTTAATTTATACAAGAGCTTTACACATTTTTAGTTTAATCAAAGAATAATTGCCTTTTTGTGTCCAAAAAGCGTTAACAATATAATAAATGTAGTGTTTGTTTATATACATTTTGTTTTTGTCTTCCCTTTTCATTTGATGAGAAGTCAAAGCAAATGCGGATCAAGCAGTGTAAACACCTTCAAATGACTGATTTCAAATCACGCATTTTGGTCCAATGTAAATGTAATATAAAACACTGTATAGGTTAAGCACTCGTTCAATGTTATAATAATTTACAAAATTTTTAAGTATTAAAAACGATGACTTAACATTCGCATTCGGGAATGTGAAAAATATGGCATTCGAGACATCCCTATTAAGTACACAAAAACCATACTAGACTGTCTCGCTTAGATTTCGGAATTCTTACACATTGGGAAGTTAGCTTAATGCCAATATAGAAGTATTACATGTATGGGCGCATGTAATAGACTTGAATTGATACGAAAAGTAATATATGTATGTACATACTTATGTATGTGGGTACATGAATAACAATCGCTTAAAATCGATCTCAAATTTTGTACAACGCTTCTATATATATCAATAAAATCGTACAAAAGAAAAGGAACAGATACGTTTATAAATAAACATATACGCAACATATTCACAAAACCGGCACTCACGTACACAATACATGCGAGGGATTTTGCGAATATTTGCATTCGCATTCTTTATGAGAATGATTCGCATCAATTTACACATTCGCATTCGAAATTCGCTTTCGCATCAAATGATACGAATGTTTTTGAAATGTTGTTGAAATGGCTCCAAGTCTGTCTAACGAGGTTGAGGGCAATAACCGGCTTTTAGCTTCAGGCGCTAAACGGTTAAGTAGTATATCAAGCAACATTGATGGGCCTTTAACAGGTACTGCTAAAAGTCGTATAAGCAACCTAGAAATTATTTTAGATTCCTATAGCGCAAGCAAAGGCCCGAATGTAAAATCTGGAGACATTAAAAAATTTGAAATAAAAGCTCAATTGAAGGCCTATCTTAAAGAAAAACGGGCTCATCTCTGTGAAAATCCTCTCGATTGGTGGAAAACTAAACAAATATACGACAAATTTACAGATCTGGGTCGAAAATATTTGAGCGTTGCACTCGCCGTTCCAAGTGTGCCATTTTTTTTAATGCAGCCGGCCTTATATACGAGCCTCTAAGAAATCGCCTCATGGGAGAAAAGGCAGCAAACTTACTTTTTATGAAATATAATATTGCCATTTGGAACTTTGACTACAAGATTAAAACACTGTATAGGTTAAGCACTCTTTCAATGTTATAATAATTTGCAAAATGTTTAAGTAATAAAAACGATGACTTAACATTCGCATTCGCGAATTTGAAAAATATGGCATTCGAGACATCCCTATTAAATACACAAAAACCGTACTAGACTGTCTCGCTTAGATTTCGGAATGCTTACACATTGGGAAGTTAGCTTACTGCCAATATAGAAGTATCACATATATGGGCGCATGTAATAGACTTGAATTGATACGAAAAGTAATATATGTATGTTCATACCAGAGACCCGCGCCGACATCCACACGGCTGCGTGGAAGGTGGTTTCATGCAGCGCCGAAGACAACGGTCTCAGGCTCAACCTGGGGATAAATAAGGCGTCGTATGTCAGCATCAAGAGGACCGGATTGATAGTCAGCTTCCGCTGCAGCTACGTGACGGTGCGGCCATGTAGACACAAGACGACAGG